AGTATTTCACATAGCTGATTAAATGATGTTTATTACATTCCACAGATTTCCTTATACATTTGACAGTGCATTTGCTCCTACACAGGATCAGAATCCATTCTGTTACACTAATGTGAAGTCCAAAGTATTTTTCCAAGTGAACAGAAGGTCATCAGTGCTAACATTCGCAGGACTATAACTTTAGTTTTCTCTTCATTCACAATCCAAGGGACAGATCCAAGGAAGATCAACACATCAGAAGAGAAGCAGCAAGGAGAGGGATGAGGGATGATGCTAATTACCAGCAAGAATGGATGTAGCATCTACTGCCTGCACAAATCCAAAGCAACTGTTTACAGTATCAAGAAACACGTCCAGTAACCAAGCAAAATAGAAGGAGTGTTGCAAAACTAGGTAATATGTAAAATGCACAGCAAAATACGATCTGATGTCTGGAGTGTGAATAGATAAACAAGATCTCTGAGGTTTAAAAGAAACAACAAAAACACTCCAAAAGAAAACAAACAAGCCTTTCCCTCCCAAATCAACATATTTTAATCAAAACATTCATTTAATGCTCTGACTGCCTACTTGGATGGATGAAAAATTTTATAATTACTAATTATCATGAAATGTAGATGGTTTTACTGATCTTAATGAACTCTAATAGGCGTGGTATTGCAGACAAAGAGAAGCACATCAGAGATTCAATCTGAAATCTCTCAGATTGGAAGACGACCCGATTCTTTGAGGAACGGAATCATTTGGGTATGACTATGCTTGGCAGAATTCAAGTGTAATTGCTTGCCCTGCTGCAACTCAAGTCTTGCAGAGAAGCCAGAAAACAGGGTGGTTTCATTAGCTTCTGAAGAGCTTTCCACAACAAGAAGCAGTTTCCTCAATTGCCAGTTTAAATGGTAAGCTCCATGGGGCAGAGGTCGAATACAACCTTCGTGTCTCATATGCTATTTTTATGACTGAATAATAATTTTACCAAAACTCTGAACAGCTCACTAATCAGCTAAATTGCAAGAACATGTGAATGTTGAAAAATATATATGTTAAGAAGCAAATATATTTCTGATATGTAGACTATGGTGTTCTCTGGGGAGTCAGTACTGCAGTTGCATACTTGTATAAGGATCCGTTAGGAAACAGCACAGACCTGAAGCAGTTTTTTTTTTAACCCAGAGTATTACATTTTTTTTGCACCAAAGACAGAGAAGTAATGCAAGCTGTTACCTTCTCTTTCCATTCACAGCTCTAAAAATGAGTTGCCTCCCTGAACTGGTCACATGCATGTATCAAATATCTTCCTTACAACAAATTAATTTTGTAAATACAGTAATGACCTGAGTCAACACTGCATACAGCACTGATTAAAAACAAGAGAATAAAGTCAGTCCTTCAGAATAAGTAATACTATATTTCAGTCTATTTGAATGTTACTCAGTTTGCCAAAATACTATCATATCCACTGCGTTACATGGAAATTAAAATCATTATTTCAATCTATAGTACCTTTGTGTTATAGTTTCATGTCTTTTCTGGCAGATACAGAACTTGCCAACCTCATTTTTTGTATTATATATGTGTGTGACATACTGCATTAGCTATTTGGCTTATAAGCCCTTCCACATTTAATTTATTTTCATGCTAGGAAAGCATGAAAATAGATTTCCCCTTCTGGCTGTCTGTAAAATAGTTTTGCTTTTTTTTTCTTTACCACTTAGTAACTGAAAGAATGTTTTATCCTCCTTATTGCTTTTCAGTGGATTCTGTTCTTGCTCAAGATCCAGAATACAGTTGGTAACTGCAGTTAAAAACGAAAAGCTGAACACTACCCCACTGCATCTGCAATATCTGTGTTTTTGGAGAAAATCAACAGACTTGAGGAAATCTGGCTTCAGAAGTGCCAAAAGAGCCATCAGGGAGGTGAGGCTTCAACCTAACACTTATATCCCAGCCAGAGCTTGTGTTGGTTCCAAAGAAATGTGAGAGCAAACCGAACAGCTCCAACTACCTGGGCATGTACTGAAGGAGAACATTTGTCCTAGAGCCTTATGAGACAAAATATTTGTCATCCAAAAGGTCATTATTCCTTGGTGATTGCCATAACACACCTATTTCCTGGCCATGTAATTCATAAGCTAGGGGACTGTGAGGATTTGCACAGTCTGCACAAGCTGCTCCAGACTCATGGCCTGACCACCCACGCCTGCCTGCAGTCAACTTCACTATGCTGCTTTGGGAGCTGATGTTCAAGAGAAGCCAACAGTAGTCCAAAGTTATTTTGGTTAAGTACTTGAGGTATTACAAACTTACAGTGCTCACAGAGCTAGCTCGAAAAAAACGTTTTTTTCTCTCACACTAAAATGCAAAACTAAGCAGCAGAAATTCATGGCGATGTCCTTCCTTGTTGACCCACTGCACTTGTCAGACTCTTCAAGATCTCTTCTCTATTTTGTGTAATAAGTATTCTATCCTTGAAGTGAGGGTTAAGAGCTCGACTCTTAAAGTCCTCCTGAAATTTGATTTCATAAAAGTATTTAAATACAAATTTGCACCTTCAGCTGTTTAATCTCATCAGCCAAAGTCCCTGCCTGGGGTCACTAATGGGGTGGCCAACAAGACTGATGTGAACCTGACAGAAGTCCCAATAGTCCTGGAACTTGGGTGGCACGGAGAGTTGCTCGATTGGATTAAGATGGAAGAACTGCCTCCCTGCCCCCAGGTGCTGCAGCGTGGGAAAGCACAGAGTGCACATTCCTCAGTAGCACTCAGCACAGGAAGGCTCCCAGCTTCTCACTCAAACCTTTCACCAGCACTCAACAGGGTAAATAAACTGCATGGTCAGGGAGCTTCAGACTGTTCCCTTCATGAGCAAGGAGAAGAGTGGAAATATTTGTTTACAACAGGAAGATACATTTACTTCTGCTCCTTTTGCCTTGGAGTAAGCACCTGCCACATGCAGAAGCAGTTTTCCTTTTGTGTTGACAGCTTAGTGAGCTGGCTGAAATGATCTGTCTAGCATAAAAATCTGAATGAAAAGAAGCAAATTTATTCTAACACAGTAGCATCACCTTAGAAAACATTACCTGAAAGCACCTTGGGCACATTCATGCTCATACACTTCTGCATAAAGTCTTTTCCGGCCTGTTTTGGTACAACATTCTAGATTGTCAGTATTCCTTACAAGTGTAACATTTTCAAGTGCTGATTAAACAAAACTTGTTTGTCTAAACCTCTTAATTGAACAAAGGGGCCATCTTAAAAACTTCAGTCCCAAATGAGTCAAGAGTTTGCCTTCCCAAATAGCTCAGATTCTTCTAAGCTAACACAAAGCACATGTGGGAGCTGCATTCTGGGAAAACACAAAGCAATAGAAACATAGATGGAATACATTGACCTTCCACGGCAGGAAAAGAAAACGCCAATGCTGAGTCAACGGTGGTGCAAAAATCATTAGCACCTAATCACACCGTGGTTAGTCAGGAGGCACAAGGTGGGCGCATACACAACACTTCAGCCCACTGACAAAGCAGCAAACAAGCCATCAAACTCCAGCATCTACCATTGCTGGTGATGCAAGCCAGTTTCACCAACGAGAGAGGACTTCCACTGCTGACAATGAAACACAATCTCAAGAGAAGACTGAGACGTTTGAGGAGTGAAACAGAAAGCAAAAACCAAAGTCCTATTTGAGCTAGGATGGATGAAGTCTGTAGAAGTCAAGATGTAGAAAATCATAGCTCTGTGGGTTTTTTTTCTTGTGAATCAGCCTGTCAGAAAGATCACACTGCTGAGTCTGCATACATTTAGCCACAGCTGTAAAGGGCACGGTATAGCCTGTGTGATTGACCCTTCCCAATCAACAGTCCTAAGATGGACAATTTTTAACTTTCTAGAACATTCTTTCCTCTGAAGATACTCATTCATTTTGTGTGTGAAACGATTGATAAAGCTGAAATGGTTATCCTGTGGTTCCTCTCATCTGCCATCACTGCATTAGAGTTGGTCATCACTGCCTGAAGAATTTCCTGGACAGGTATTTTTACGTTGAGATTAACAGAGTATATACAGATTTTAACACTGCCCCTCCAATTCACACTTAATGACTCAGCAAGTTCCAGAAAGATAAATAAACAAATAAATAAATAAACGTAATTCGTGAAGGATCAGGAACAAGACATGATGGAGAAAATAGCATGTTATAACACTTCAGAAAACAAAACCTCTCTTTCTGACAAGCCACATTAAAATACTCAAAGAAATGCAATTCCATGCTAAAAAATGGGTTAAAAGGAATCACAAGTGAACTTCCAATATTTTAATTTACTTCCCAATTTTCTTTTTTTCAGCTTTAAATTCTTCCGTGACTTCTCTGGCAAATCAACACTGAGAGTCATAGAATCTGGTGATTTCAGCTTCTGAAATTGAATGACTGAAAATAAGCTTTACTTTTAGGAACCAAGTATATTTTGACCTTCTTGGTTGTGGAACAAAACAAAGTGTTACAAAGCTGCAAGCAGAAGGCAGTGTCACTGAAGACATAAGGAAATCCAGTTCACTATTATGTATCAGATAATATTTTGACAATAGTAAAACAGTTACTCTAAACTTTTTAATTCTTTACTCAGGAACCTCAGGGAAAAAGCAGCTGCTTTCAGCTCTACTTTTCAGAATTTTACTTCAGCTGGTAGCTGTTGTTCAGTGGTATTGGTACTTTATAAGTTAAAAAAGGTAAATGTATTAAACACAACAGTTTCTGCTGAAAGGCAAAGCTTAAACTGCCCATATGCAAAGTTTTGCTAGGGTGCCTCAGTGCTAAATCCAGTACTTTTGCCAGAAATTAATTCCATGATAAGCACAACAGGCCTCTAAAATCTTACTTTCTCCTCTACCCTATGTGTCTATTACTAATCTTTTTATCGTAATTGCAAAAGAAGATCTGATCTAACAAGGAGTGTGTTATTCTGACCTCTTATGATGCAGCCCACAAAGCAGCAAGCTGTACTTACCATGCATCTGGTAGGTATATGGTGCTTGTCCAGCAGCTGGGGTACTGAAACTGGATCCATAACTAAGAAACCCACTCTGTCCTGGGGAATGGCTCAAGCTGTCCTCTGTTTTGATGCCTTTGGAGGAGCACAATGCAGGAACCAAGAGTAGAATGTGTATTTTGTCACGTAAAGTTATAAAAAAGAAAGATTAGGAATTCACAATATTTCAGCTAGATTTTAACCTACACTTTACAATTTTTTTTTAGATTATCCTCAAAGAGCTCTCAAGTAATACAAATCAAATGCATTCACCACAAATAGTATTTGAGTGAGCTGCATCCTGCATTCATTCATGTCCTGAAGGAACTTTGCTTGAGATACAGAAGCAAACACAAATAACATTGTTTTCAAAAACTACTGATGGAAAACAGTTTTGTTTTGGTGTTAAACAAACTCATTGACTCAAGACCTTTCTGAACAGTTATCGGGTGCAAGCACTGATTAACAAAGCAACAGGACCTGCAGCAAATGAACCTCAAGACTTCTGTTCTCAGTAGACGTATTTTTTACTTCCATTATAGTTTCAGGTTTGGTAATTAAGTATTTATTAGCAGGTCATACAGGAGGGTTATCATTTACTCACTTAGATATAACTTCCAGTTCAGGAACAGTAAATGTAAGTCCTGAAGCCACAAAATATTTTCATTACTAAAATCAGGCAATTAAACTGACAATTTACTGGAGCAGCACTTGCTGATTCAAGCTTTGATGAAACCCTTGCTGACAGTAAAAGGGGCTGATATTTTATTCAGAGATGCTGCCAAGATTCTACAGCTGTATTGTTAATATAAACAGCTGAAAGGTGCGTCTTATTATGAGCCCTTGGGTGTGATCCTCCTCCTTCTTTGCATACCTATTTGCACAAAACAAAAAAAAGCCATGGACACATCCTGAGTACGAGAGCACTAGAGCTAAACAAAGCCTGTTGACATTCTGGGCTTGCATTTATGCACTTGCCAGGCTGTTGCTGTCTGTTAGCACTTACAAACAAACTTGCCAAAAGACAAGTCGAATTCATGTGCCTTTCACCAAACATGCTGTTTTCTAGCTTAATGACTCTTAGAAGCAGTAAGTCTGCATTTGCTCAGGTTGGGAATAGTTTCCCCCAGATAATATCTTCTCTAATAAAACTACTTCTTTAAGCTTTAGGTGAGAATAGCTGCAATACATTCTGAGTACAAGTTAGCATCAATACGACAATGCTGTATTGTGAAATGCAGGAAGTTTGTTTGGACAGTGAGTGAACATGTGTTAGTGCAGGCGTCCGGGTCCATAACTGCTAGGGAAGTAAAGGGATTTGCGAGTGTGTGCAGAGAAGCCTCTTTTCATAACATCCCATGTTTTTCAATTACAGCAGCACTCTGCATGCAAGCACTCCATCTACCCTAGCTACAATTAATCTTCAGCGAATGGGCCTTTTTGGAAGTCTAAAATTGTTGTCAGACAGTGAAATAACTTAGCACCAAATTAATTTCCACACAATGTTCTGTTTTGTCTAGAAACTGGCTGAGTTTTATTTTTGTGCCTAAAAACAATACTGCTTCATTGTTCTTGGTTGTCAGCCAGGTGGAGTTTTTCATAGGCTGTGCTGAGTATCTTAGAGAGGGTGTATGGGATGGGGGAGGGAAACCACTGCTCAAGGATGCTAAGAGGTCATCCACAGGATTTATAAGCAGCATATGGGCCTGACACATGTATGCCCTAAAGACTCAAGGCAGTAGCAAATGGCTCTACTTTCACCTGCTCTAACAGGACAACTGTTCAGAGTTTGTCTTGGAAATCAGCCAGCTGATGCAAACACACAAGTAGCTCCAGGAAAGGGTCTCAAAACATTCCTCTCATCATCCTGGTAGACCTTCATCTCTGCCAAGACCATTTCCCTGACCTTCCAGACTATTGCATTGAATTTCCCTTCAGGAAAAGTGTTATCAAAGGCTGTATAAAATCTTGTTGGGAAAGGATACTGCGTTTGCCAAGCAAATGAAGGTGTTTAAGAGTGTGAGAGAAACCAGCAGCAGAAACAGAACTATGAAGCTGCAATACTCAGCACTCATGAGATCAGCTCGGAATAAGGAGCCTCAAAACTTTCTAAGCAAGAGCAGTATCCCTTTGGTCTTCAGGAGTGGAAAGAACTTCCTAATTGCCTCCACAGCATGCTATTTCCATGTACAGCTTGAAGACATTTAACACTTGGTTTGCCAGGCTTTCCACCATTAGGGGTGCTGGTTTTTAGTTCTCTGCCTGAATCTTCCAGCTGCTCCCAGCCCAGCACCATCTCCCCACAGCTGCTTGTGAGGCTGGTGTAGGGAACAGAAGTTGACCAGGGTTAGAAATTCTCATGGCACTTATTGCTAACAACCATTCATTTATACACAAACAGTCTTCCAAAACCAAAGTACTCTGTAGCTTTTCACCAATGCCCTACTTTGCTTTGTGTCCCAGATTTTCTGTAATAGCATACAGAATTTTTTTACTAAAGTAGCTTTTATTATGGAAACCCCAGGAGAAATCAAAGAAGGCAAAACGAACTTTACCTAAGTAGCATATTCACCGCATTGTACTGAGTCATGGCAACAGTCACAGTTCCTGCTCATAAGTGGAACATCCTACTGAACCTGAGTTTTTCATACTGTTTCCTATCCAATTACTCACCATCTTCAACCTTAAGTAGTTTGTAAGACCGTATCCCAGGATATAAGGAGTTGACAGCTCAAAGTAATCCTACCATTTTTAACAATCAGCTTCTCCTTCAAGACTAAGAAGTGAACACTCCCAGTATAGAAATAACTTTTCGTTCTAAACCTTAAGTCTTCAAATAAGTTTTTCTAGGAGCAAAAGGAAGAAGACACACTCAAAGGTAACATGACATCAGGGTACTTACTGTAGGAAGGTATGCCATAGGGCTGCGCTGGAGGAGGGTAGGAAGTGTATGCAGCAGCCTGTTGGATTCCTGCACTGTACTGAGTCTGTCCATATGTTGCCATTGTTGGGAAAGACTGGACTGTCACTATATGGGGATAATGTCTATTGAGAACAAGAAAACAGAAGGTCTAAGACAAAAGTTACTGCACAATCTTCTAGAGCACAAGGAAAACATTTCTAGATATTTTGATAAAGCACAATCCAACTATGATGGTGAGTATTTTGAGAGCTCAGAATTTACAAGGCTGGGGCAAAAGTTTCTTTTAGTGTATAGCTCCTGATATAAATTATTAAGATTAAGGTGCCTACATGCATAGGAAATTTAGGGCAGTGCAAAATACGTGCAGGTTAAAAAAACCTCAATACTCTGATTATTGTGTTTCATTTTGAGTTTGCCAAACAACACATCATGAGAAACCTCTGACGTTTTTATGTATTCCTCTTGATCACTAATAAACAAAGCAGCATTCAAAGTGATAATGTTTGGATTCCCACGGGTGCAAACGTACAGCACATGGTACCTCGAAACTTTCATTCCATATTTAGCAAGATTAGGGACTATTTCTTCACTGGGCCTGAGACATACAGAGGAACAGGTGGATAGGCTTAAGACAAGTGCTTTTTAAGGTGACAGAAGTCAACACAAAATGTCTGTTTTGCAAAATATGGTTTTTAAATGACAGCACTTGGCAGGAACACTCACTTTGTTGAGTAGAGATGGAGAGGACACTGTGGTGCTGCTTTGCTGTTGCCTGGAAAACAAAATTAAAGGGTCTTAGAGTTTCATCATGTTCATTTCTACAGCCAAGATGATACCACTGTTTTTACAATTGCTGGTTTAAGAAAAACAATTAGGAGTAATTTAGGAGATACTGTTTTGGAGTGAATCTCCAAAGAGATGAAGAAGATAAAGCTATTATATACTTAACAACAAATAAATACAATTTTATTTAACTGATGGTACTACTGATTTACTGAGTTGCTATTTTCTTCTTCTCATACAACTGATGTGAATCATGAGGTTGGGCTTTGGTAGGATGAATCATACATTAAAAGCTATAAAGGCAACTACAGTGATAACTACATTGATTTGACTTTTTTTGACACTGTCCTAAACTGTGACTCACTTTCTTTAAAATAATAAAATGCTAAAACATGCAAAGACAAACAAAATAAAGAAGCTTATCACTTTTAATTATCAGCCCTGATTTTTTGCATTAACTATAATCTACCTAACTGACTTAGCAATAATCAAAAACAGTAAATGAAACCAGTAGAAAATACATCAAACAAGTAAAATGCGCAAGATGCTTGGCAACGTATCAAACAGTCCTGCAACACCAGCAAAAAAAAAAGTGCCCCCTTTTTATCTGGAGAAATATTTATGCTTAATTTCATTAAAATAATCTAAATTAAAACCTGTAAGTTCCCTGCAAATTGTACTGAAAATACTGCATTTAAATGCCACCATAAGTATTACGCAGATTGCCATCATTATGCCGTTCAATTTGTGATTCTCTGACCCTGGTTGGAGTCAGTGTTATTACAGCAGTATAAATGCCAACACACCTTCACAATTATTAATAATGATATTAGGCACTGCACACCCAGCCTCTCTATCTGCTGTCTGTATCAATCAGCACATCAGACTAATTGCATGCAGTTTCTCCAGGGAGAAGAACATCAACCATCCCATTCTCTGCTGACTGTAGCACCACCACCCTCCACATTTATCATGCAATTTGTTACATGCGATAGGAAATAATACCCAGCGTTGGGCAGATCTCTCCACCACAGGAGCACAGGCTGAGTGGAAAGGCAGAGACCTGCAGCGTCCCCAGTGCTGCACATTGCCATCAGCAGGCAGGAAACATCCAAGTGCTGTCCCATGCATCGTCATGGACACAGCCACCATGCTACAGATGCATCATCCTCAGTTCAAAGTTTTCAAAACAGAATCACTTTGTTTGTTCAGCAGTTTGTAAGTTGGCAAATTAAACATTTAAAGTGTGGTTTATTTAATGAAATATGCAAATATATGTAAGGTCTAAATAAATGCAAATAGTCCTATGGGTCTGAGTAACTTGTTATGCCACAAATCTGCAGAGAATTTCCAAAATGATTTGACTGCTTGAATATGAAATATTCATTCCTTCCGTTTTAACACTCTTTTATAAATGTTCTTTCTTCAACAACTCTTTTTTCACAATATTTTGCATGGCTTTATCATTCTACATCATAACACAACAATACCACTAATATATTTTTTAAGAGAGGTATTCAATCTGATATATTTTTTCAAAAAGTAATTTGTATTAAAAGTCTGTTTTCATCCTTGCTGACTTATGAGAGCAAATAAACGGAAAAACCCCTATGGAGGTACATAAGTCTTAACAGCAACAACAACAAACGAATTACAATAATTTTTTTTAGAATGTTAATTTGTATATTGTCTCCTGTATCTAATAATAATAGTGAAAAAAGAGCTGCATTTTATAAGAAACAATTGTATTTCCTTAAAAGATTAAAATACCTAGAACACACACTTCCTTCAAAAAGGAGACCCTTTTGTCATGAACCTAGCCATCTTCAGAGCTAATTAACAAAATTTAAAAGAATATCATGTACTCCTTTCTCTCTTCTCTGGGATAACTGTAGTGTTTAATAACTACACTTTCGGTTAGAACAGATCAGAAATGTTACTGCAGCACTGAGTTACTTTAGGAAAAATGGCTTTGGCAATAAAGGCACTGATGACCAGGGGAATACATTTCAGAGCTGGGAATGACTACACTCTGCTGCTGCTAAGGGAAAAATGTAACTCGAGTACATCTATCTGTGCTGCAAACAGACCTCATCTGCTCACAAGCCTATGTGCTGAACTGTAATGTCTTTCCTAGAACCATGCTGGATGCCTGCTTCACCCTCTTCTCCTTGCTGGGTATTAAAAACAAAAACTCATCCCAATACAGCCACTGTGATAAAATATACTTTTATCACCCCCTCTTTGCTCTCACTTCCTGAAGTACTATTCTATGCCATACCCTTCTTATTGTACCCATCTGCACAACAAATTCAAGCCTGGCTTTTCTGATCCCACTTCTCCCAAGCTGTTCCCCAGTTCCGCAAGAGCTCTCCCTCAGGCTGATCCCCAAAACCCTACAGAATGATAAGGATCACATCCACAGTCCCCTTGGGTCTTCTTCCAGGGCCCTCTGCACTACCTGCTCTGCACACCAATCCATTCACAGAGGAAGCTCAGGCAGGAGGACGGCACATCAGCTGCAAGGGCAAGAACTGTGAACCCTATCACCCCACCTCACTATGTGGGCAGTGACTGGAACAAAGCCATAAAGAATTCTCTATGCTCTTACATTCCAGAAAAACCTGACAAAACTAAAGCCCAGCAGCACCCCTGCCCTTGTTTCTTTAGAATGCGGCTAATACAAACCTATTTCCACAGCAAGAGGCAGATATTTTATTTAAAAAAAAAATATATATATATATATATATGTATCAGAGTAAAGCAAAGTAAAGGACCGTGTTATATAAATGCATATACATACACAAACACATATACAGGTACAGGAATAGCAGGTATAGAAAAAAAAGACTGCTTTTAAACCCAAAGACAAGCTTACCTGACTCACCTTGATACTCGCAATGAAAAGATTGCTTTGACTTACCTGAAAGAAAGTTGTTTAGGCAACTAGATTTTTAGATTCTTAAAACAAAAACTATACAATTTCTATCAATCTGTCCCTTATTACCCAACAGAATTGTATTAGAGAAATACATACATGTATTAACATTTTAATTCATTTCATTCATATTCCATATTTGAAAAACAGAAGGGCAGTTAGAGCACAAGTTTAATGGCTTTTCTACTTAAAAAATACTGTATTTCAGATTATTTTTTCTTTTAGTTTTGAAACTGGTAAACACAGAATAAATAGAAAACAGGGATTCACTGTGTACGAGTATGCAGTATGCTGCACTCTCATTGTCAAAAGTACAGGTTAAAGCTGTTTGCTCCTACCCAAATGTGTAGAGCTATAGGCATAATGTGTATTTGAAAGTTATAGAGACATAGTTGCAGATTTCATAAGATCCATTGACACGATGAAGTACACATCTGACACTGCAACTACAGTTGCTAAAATTAAAACTATGTGTAATATGGTGCATATATTCATCTGCATTCATTGCACTAAGAGCTCAGGCAGTACGGACTGACAAAAACACAAGTATTTTCCTGTTCACCAAATTAACAAGAGGTATTTTCAATTAAAGGAACATAATTATGGCATAACAAGGGATCAACCTGTAAAACAAAAATCCAAAGTAATATTTTTGTAAGAAACTTATCAACATGAGCTGTCACTGGCATATTGGCGTTTTGTGGTACAGGTGCTCTGTTGGCTTATATTTATATTGCACAATATAAAAAACAGTTCCTGCACCAAGGCGTTTACAAAATGATGTATTTTAAAATCATTTCTAGCACTAATCTTTTCTGCAAACACATATGTTTAAAAGGATGTTTCCTTTAGATTGTTATCCCTTTGACTGCTCCTGTAAATAGGTAATCCTGATGTTTGTGTTTTAATCACACGGTTTCTAATGCCTTAGCACACAGTCAAGCAAAACTTCTTGGCTTTTAAGAGTCTATAAATTAAGGGTTAAACATACTACCACTACATAATAGTCAGTGCCTTTTGCTAACTCCCCTCCAACAGGAAGGCTGACAGATTCTGACCGCAGCAAACAATAGCTGGGATTGTACTAGCAAGAACTAGTTCAGCTGCATCACTTGCCAATAATTTTTTTAGCAGATTTAACATTCTTCTGTTTCCTTCTCTTAAACAGTATGATGGGGGGAAGGAAGAGGAGGAAGAGGAGAAGGACAGATAGATTTCCATCAGAGCTTCAACCACTGACAGAATTTATCCTTGGTACCTGCCAAATGTGAAACTTCACACCAGACATCAGCAGGACAAACCATTTGGAGATGACAGCAATGATCTCAGAGTGATACAAACTGGGGCACAGGGCTGCTTTGGCAAAATATTTTTTGGCTACACAGTGTGCTGTTGGGCCTGGGAGCCCCTGAGAGCCACACTCCACAAGCAGTAGTACAGACACCCCTGGGGCTGGGGCTCTAGTAGGGTCTAAATCAAAAGTACCAGCCCTACATAAAGCACGTTTTATACTTGCACTTATTCCAGTGAACAGATCTACAAGTGTGTGCATATGTTTACACCCACAATACACAGATCTCTGTTTATGTAAAACATTTCAACTCTGTTTGCATTCAAATTATTTTTGAAGGGTTCAGCCACAACTGGAGTGACTACAAATATTCTCAAACAAAAACCCCAATTGCTCACTATGCAGTAGAACTAACTGTTAGAAGCAGAAGCCCTGTGTGTGGCCATCTCCCTTATTTTATATACATACACATAATGCCAAAGCAAATAAGCAGTAAACAAAAGAAGTAGCCTACCTTCTATGTCATCTGGAGCCGTGGCATAAATGTTAGTAAGGTTAAGCTTCAGTCTGTCAGGGCACTCTCTATTTACAGTCAGGCTGGGTGATATCACTAGATCTAGCATTTCCTTATACCTAAAGGAAAACAAAGGAAAAATATAATTTATTCATTAATTATGCATGCTTACTAATGATTCAGGTTTTTTTCCCTAAGAGTATAAATATTAAAGTTGGTTACCTAAACCCAGGCTTCATATAAATTCCACATAATAACATTCAGTAAAGTTTTCATCAAAGGTAAATGCTGAATAGAAATGAGGTACTTGTTTCCTTGGAGATTACACCCCCCTGATTAATGCTTTCCCTTTCTTCCTGGATTTTGCCACCCAAAAATTAAATTTCCTTATCTCTTCCATGCTACCAGCACAAAGATTTATACACCAGCGTCCAGTGAGCCTCCAGAACAGACTAAGAGCTGAAAAAGAAGCTGAGGGCAGTAAGCAGCACTGTGTATTCTTACGAAATACTAAGAAGGTTAGTACTGGTGACAGGAGAGATTCAGGTGTTTGGGCTAATCCTGGTACCTACTGGAAATGATTGTGTTTAGGCAATGAAGGCCTACACTCTACACATCACACAAGCAGTTCAGAAAAAAGAGTGAATAAATTGTTATTTCATATCTTACACACAACATGAATATGTCGATTCGTACAAATACCTCAACTTTCAATAAACATGCCCAACTCCATCTGCCTGGCTTTTCAGAAAGGGGCTTCAAAGGAACCTGCTTAAAATAGAGCTGCTTGTTCCCCTTCAAGTGTTTAATGTTTTAGATGGGCACCAAGACCAGTCATTAAGATGTGTATGCATATGTTTGCAAGGCTGGGTAAAGACATCTACGTGAGCACAGTAAGGAAACTGTGAGCTCTGTCAGATACCTGAAGACAGTGTTTAAGCAAGGCAGCTTTCCTAAGCATATTTACTCCCACACTGTTGTACCCCTGTTCCCTAAGCAGCCAGTGACTGCAGATAAAACTATAAAGATTCACCAACCAAAGGAAATCTAAAGCTACAGTTGCTAGTTTTCTTTCTTTTTTCTAAAAAACAAACAAAAGCAAACAGCCCCACACACTATGCTATAGAAACTTATCTGAATTTTCTAAGACTACACCAGAATACCAGCACAGCTTTTTGGTCAAGTCCTAAACAAATGACGAAAAGGGTTTGAAAGTGCAATGTTCTTTTCACATTTCAGAGCCACATCAAACCAGTCCCCAGAAGCAGAACTGTGCTATTGGAGTAGAGGGGGTAAACGGAAGAGAGGGGATATGGAGGTGAGCAAACGTGAGGTGCCTGGCAGCAGCCTGCATGGACTGCCCTTTCTGTCAGCGCCGGACATGCCTGCACAAGGAGCTGCACACCTGGTCCTCAGGCAGGGGCATCGCTGAGCTCGTCCCTAAAGGCAGCAGTGGCACAGCAACAGCCCAGAAGCAATACACAGCATATACTGCACAGCACACCCGAAGCATCATTGCATTAAGGACAGCAGCATAGAAATCTGAATTCCTGACATTAGGCTTCCGCAGTACTGATCTAGGCAGCTCTGTGAGAAGCAAGGACATCTGTCTTAGTTTTTCTCTTTTAATACTCACCTATGACTAACTACCACTTTTAAGAAACAGAACAAATTGCATCATTTTATCTGAATTTCTCCAATCACTTTTATAAAGACTACAGGTTTCTGTGACGAAGGGTAAGTATTGTTATCAATAGGCACAAATGAGGTGAAATGTTTCATCTGTAATTGAACAGCAAGGACCAAAGCTGAATTCATTTTCACTTTTCCACCTAACAGCTGCGAAGACACTGCCTGGAAAAACACACATCCATCTGTTGGGAATTTGCAGAATTGCCAGAAAAGGAGAAGGCAGTGGCATAGCCATGAACAACGTGCACAGCCCCTGCCTTTCTTCAAACAGAGTCTGGACTCTCTCTGTCTACCTCCCTTAGAAGCCCATGTGGGCATATGCATTTTTGCCATCAGTGCAGCATCAAATCCAGAGGTTGTTCAGGGCTGCCTGATTACATGCCATGAAGGAGATCTGAAGTCAGTGGTGAATGAAACTGGGTAGGAATGCAGTACTCAGGATCTCTGTCCCCTATATTAGCTTAAAAACAGTGATGCTTTATAGCTGGATCTTTGTTGCCAGAGGACTTCAAAGTGCTTCACCTTCAGATATGTCCTGTAAGCTCTGCAGATGCAGACACTAAGATTAAGCAAGACAGAAGTATGAATGCAGGTGCAAAGGGGACACCTGCAATCACTGTCCATGTTACCAAATGTATGAAAATGCAATGAGGCTTTAGATTTGAACAAGGACACAAAAACAGTCCCCAGCTTTAAAAATACTATCCTAAGACGCAGCCTAATAGCAGAGCTAAAGCAGGAATTCAGGACTCCCCTCACCTAATCCTAAACAAAACACAGCCCGTCAGAAATTCTACTCGGTCCTAACAGCAGTGGAACAAGTGCAGGCAGGGACTTCACTGAAGCACATGTGAGTCTGATTTACAGGCAGCCTCAAGCCAATGAGCCTCGAGAAATGGCTGCAGCCCTTCTGCACACTTTGCCTATGCCAGAGGAAAAGGAGATTTTCTCCTAAAATGGTTAATCTCTCTCTTTTGACTGCACAGCCAGGCTGCAAGAGAGAAAGGAGTCAGGAAGGATGTGGTGGTCCTCATTTCTCTAGAGGCAGGAACGAGTTGCTTGCTCCTCCAAGCAACTACGGTTCCTAAAATTCCGTTTTCACGGGGAAATTACTTTCTTCAAATCCTTTGGCACCAAAATTAAATTTTTGCTTGCACTGCTGAAAAAGCAGGGTTACATTTTATATTGGGTTTTCTTTTCCACTGTAAACAATGTCTAATTTTTTCTTTATTTCCTTAACACTGTTACCTGACAGGAGGAAAAGCACTGCCATCCCAAATCCTGTCAAGCTAGGGATGTTCTACATTGTTTCTCAGATAACACGTGCCCTTCAACACAATCTCAAACCCCATCATTCATGACACTGACCAGACTGTTGCCAAGTGAATGGAAGCAGATGTTAAAAGGGAAATGATATTTTATAATGATTAATGCACTTTAATTACATCATTGTTCAGAGATTTCATTAGCTACTCTCTTGGTTTTGTTCTGTTCACTTTTGAATGCAAAGGCTCATTTGTTTTTTTAACATTTTCCTTTCTTTATCTTTCCCCCCTCTCAGCTCCCATTTTTCTTTAGAGCACACATTAGCTGCATGTACAAACGGGTAGCTCTCCACAGAAAATCCTGTCTGGCTGTGCATGTCATGTACGTGTTTGCTCTGTGAGTGGCTTTGCCTGTTCTGCATGCACCATTACCAATTTGTTGATAAGTATTTCTTGCTTACGTACTTCTACACAGGAGTTCCCGAAATTCCGGTTTTAATGATGGCAATCAACTGAAAATCTTTAATAAAGTAATGGATCCTGGATAGGATTTAGCGTAATAAATGACATGCTGGAGCACAGCTGATGAAAATATCAGGTCTTTGTTTGCTTTTTAGAGCAAAAACATTTTCTGGCTAAAGTAATATACAGTAAATCAGTAGTAAATTTGCTGAATATGAGCTTTTATTAAAACCAGTGATGGCAGCATCTAGCAAGCTGGGCTGACAGACATCTGGAAGAGCTTTTGGCTTCTATAATTAAGAAGAACCTTGTGTGAATTTGATGCTCAGCTTTTCCATTAGAATCCCCTACTCAAAAAGCAGTATTTTGCCCTTAGAGTTGGCCCACAAACCTCTGCCAAGAACAGAGACTTTTCTCTTTAGTAATGTTTATGAATAAAAAAGAAAACCATTTTCCATCATTCTGAAGATAGGAATGCCAAATTAAACACTTCAAAGTTTCAATTTTTTGGTGAAGGTGTCGGGATAATTTACAAATCACACTTTCTTTTACAATGAAGTTCTGAAGGCAGTGATGCCAGTCCCCAGCTCAAGACCATCAAGCATGAGCTGAAGATCAATACAGTGAGCAATCCCAAGGCTTTCCAGCACAGCACTCAAAGATAGGAGTAAATGCAACACCAAAGCAGAACCAGTGTGGAGACTGAGTCAGCATGGCCCTCTGGGTGCTGATCATGCTGAGAACCAGAAAGCAGCCTGATGGATTATCTTTTGAAAGGTTGAAACAGGTAACCACCATGGTGGTGTGGTTACTCCACAACAAACTCCTGCCCTTAGGAAAAACTTCTCTGATCCTACACTGGGAAAGATAAGATACTTAAAAGTTTTTTCACAAGGGGAGAAGCAAATCTAGAAATGATTCTCCCTGAAACAACCCGATGTGATGATCTCAATTCTTACTGATCTGGGTAGCGGCCAAATACAAGCTCAAACACTAAATCTTCCCAAACATATGTATGTGCCAGCACAGAGCCCAAGGCAGGACTGGTACAAGCCAAGCCCTCAGCGTTAGCTTTGTTGGAAAGAGAAGGACTAGAGACATACTTCAGCCTAATTACAAGAGTTGCCTTTTTGTCTTGCTTCCATGACTTTATCTGGTTTTCATTATTTGAACAACTGCTTTCACCTTTATTCTTAAAAAAAAAAAAAAAGTGCAGATGACTAAGCAGAAAGCTTCAACTTTACAACCCCAGTGCTTCTCATCATAAAAAAGTCTGATTTTCCACTTTGTTTCAGAGTGAATTACCAAAATGTAGCTGCAAAACAGTGAGATGCCATCTTCCTCATTCCCTCTGATTCAGAGAAACAAAAAAACAAAAACAGACAACAAAAAAAGTCCCAATCCTACATGTTTGTCTACCTTTGATAAGAAGATAAGAAGTACTATAAGATTCGTTGCTGATGGTTCCTTTTTCCTTGGGTCAAATTTTCAAAAGCACCCACTATGCCTCATTAATTTTCTCTGGGCATTAAGTTTTACACTTTGAATAATTGCATTCCCTGTTTCATCCTGCTCTCACATACAAAAAAACAAATTATTCATAAGCAGGGAAAACATTATTATCTCACTGTCACCTTCCAGGTAGTACAACAAAGGGAATCTCCAGCACTGAAGATTTTGGCTACATCCACCCTTGTATT